CGGGGCCTGGCGCGACCCAGAGCTGCCCCCCATCCAGCCCCCCCGACCCCCTATCTCCCCCTAACCCTCCTCACCCTCTCCTGCCCCCCCCAGCGCCCCCTCCTGCCCCAAGCCACCATAGGGTGACCAAATGTCCCGATTTTATAGGGACAGTCCTGAAATTTGGGGCTTTTTCTTATATAGGCTCCTATTACCCCCCCCCCGTCCCGATTTTTCACCTCTGCTATCTGGTCACTCTAAGCCACCATCCTCTGCCAGTGCCCTCTGCCTGTCCCCACCCCCTCCCAGTCCCCCCTGCCTCCCCCACCCCCTGTCCCCACCCCCACTGCCCCCCCACTGGCCCACCTGCCCCAAGCCCCCCCACCTGCACCACCCCAGTGCCCGCCACCCCCATTGCCCCACCATAACCCCCTCTCCACTGGCCACCGCCCCCACCTGCCCCTCCCCCTGCTTCTTCCCAGCACCTCCTGCCTGCCCTTCCACCTGCCGCCCAGCGCCCGCCTCCATCCCATTTTCTCCCACTTCCCCAGTCTCCCTCTAGCTCTGCCCTCGGCCACCTCCCAGTCCTGCCCCATAGTGCCCCTAGCCTCCCAGTCCTGCCAGCACCCCTGCCCCCATCTCCCCACCCTGCCCCAGCCCAGCCCCTGCTTGCCCCCATCCCAGCACCCTCTGACCCCCAGCCTTGGCTCTTATATCTGCCCCCCATCCCTCTGCTCCTCAGACCTGCCCCTTATTCATGGCTTCTGAACCCCTCTCCCCCACCTGCTTTGACCCCTGCCAGGTCAACCTCTGAGTCTCTGTGTTTGGTTGGCAGTGAGGAGCCCCCACCTGTGTTGCCATCCCCCATACGTGGACCCAGCTGCGAGAGGCCGGAGTGCTACCAGGCAGAGCCGTCGGGCCTGCTGGAGTGTTACCAGTGCCGCTACCTGTGCACAGCCAGAGGTAAGACTCACTTGCCTGTGACCCAGCGGATGCTCTCTCTGCACTAATTCCTATAGTGCACAGGGCCCTGTCTGGGGGCTGAGGGTGCCAGGTGTCCTGTCTAAAGTGGGGGGAGAGGGGTCTGCTGCCCCTGCTGCCTCTTGGCTGTTAGTCCTGGTGAGGCTGGACACAGGCACCTGCCAGTTCCCTCTGTGCCCCTGGCCAGTAACTGGACATGTGTCTTGAGCTGCTGGGCTCGCCTTGTTCTAGGGTGACCAGATGTCCCGATTTTATAGGGACAGTCCTAATTTGGGGGTCTTTTTCTTATATAGGCGCCTATTCCCCCCCGATTTTTCACACTTGCTGTCTAGTTGCCCTACCCTGTTCCCCCAGCTCCTCCTGGGAGAATGAGGTCTGCTCCTGTGGGGTGCAGGGAGAGCCCTGATTGGCTGCTGTAGCTTAGGAAGTGGGGCAGTGGAGAAAAGAGCCAATCAGAGGAGGGTCCCCACAGGTGGTGCTAACAACCTGCATGCCTCAGCAACCCTACTCCTTTTCAGAAATTTGATTTCCGGGGCTAGGACCTAACCTGACATATTTACCCTGTGTGTGTGTGTACAAACCCACTGTAACCTGGCACACTAACCCTGTGTGTGTCTATACAAACCCACTGTAACTCGACACACTTACCGTGTGTGTGTATATACACAAACCCACTGTAACCTGGCACACTAACCCTGTGTGTGTGTATATACACAAACCCACTGTAACCTGGCACACTAACCCTGTGTGTGTGTATATACACAAACCCACTGTAACCTGGCACACTAACCCTGTGTGTGTGTATATACACAAACCCACTGTAACCTGGCACACTTACTGTGTGTGTGTGTAACCTGACATACTTAACCTGTGTGTGTATACTTAATGCAGTGCATTTTAACTCGCGTGTGTCTGTGGGTGCACTTTATCCTGATGGCAATGGTCCCTTCTGTTTTTGGAATCTCCGAATCTATGCATATGCAGACCTATTGCAACTCAGTGGACTTCAACCTCTGTGTGTGTGTGTGTGTGTGTGTACACAGACCCACTTCATCCCGTGTGTGTGTACACACACAGACCCACTTCAACCCAGTGCTCTTTAACCTGTGTGTGTACACGCAACCATTTGAACCCAGCGCATTTTAGGCCCAGGAGATGGCCATGCCCGCAGCCAGGTCGATAGCTGGGATGTATCTTGCTTGCTGGGGATCCTCCGCATTCCAATAGTCCCAAATCCTCTGAGACAAAGACGACACCTGATTCCAGGAGAGCTGTTCACTTGCTGATCCCAGGGCTAGGGTGCGTGCGTGCTGCAGAAGGGCAAGGAAGAGGTGAACTCTCACTCTAGCTCATGCCTTAAGCTGAGTGTGGGTTATTGAGGTGAGGGCTCTGGCTAGCTGCATATGGCTCTCTACTCCTGTGACTTGGTGGTGGGCATCAACCTACAGGGAGCAGCAAAGCAGCAGGAATGGGATTTGCTGTTGATGCTGAGAGGAGAACAGAGGAGGCTAGATAAAGGGTGTCAGGTAGTTATTACAAGCTCATAAAAGGGGTTGTATCAGTGGATGATGGAACTTTGTCCCGTATCAGTGCAATAAAACTCCTCCAGAAACCTGTCTGGGAGCAGGGAATGGGGGAGGGTTTTGGTGCCTTTGCATGGGTGAATTAGTTGCTCAGAAAGAGTCAAGTTGCTGTCAAGACTCCTACTTTAAAAAGCTGCCCCCCTTTCTCCTTCGTATTGTTTTACAGCAAATCCAGCCTTGCACAGCAACTTGCCTCCTGTATTCTCCGCCGCTGTCATGTAATGCGCAGGGGTAAAGTCAGGGCCTGCACACAGTACCAGGGGCGGCTCCAGGCACCAGCGCACCAAGTGCATGCCTGGGGCGACAAGCCACGGAGGGCGGCCTGCTGGTCGCTGTGAGGGCGGCAGTCAGGTTACCTTCGGCGGCATGCCTGCGGAAGGTCTGCTGGTCCTGTGGTTTCGGCGGCAATTTGGCGTCGGGTACGCCGAAGGCGCCGGACCGGGGACCTCCCACAGGTGCTCCGCCGAAGGCTGCCTGACTGCCGTGCTTGGTGCGGCAAAATACATAGAGCTGCCCGTGCACAGTACTGGGCCATCACCTGGGCTCTCTGCTGCCTTCTCTGACTGGACAGTTTGGAGGGTGTTTGACCAAGTTCCTTTATCCTTTATTCCAGGCGTGAGGGTGAAATTTCTGTGCACCCTTCACTCCTAAGACTCTTCCCTCCACTGGAGCAAGTGCATAGATTGTCAGTTTTTGGGTATAGGGGCTGAGATGTTTGGCACAGTTAATTTGCCGTACACCCCCATGGACACTGAAGGGAGCTAATTGGATCCAGCAGCATGTGCAGCTACTGCTGGCTCTGAATGTTCAGGGACGAGAAGGCTAGGAGCATAGCGTGTTCCCAGCCAGGCAACTGGCTCTTCCCTAGGTTTGGAATACAGGGTCTTCCCAGCTGGCCCTGCCTCAGGTGGATTCTTCATTTGCACTCCAAAGTGGCTGAGTGCTTGGCAAAGTTGTGAGGCTTGCCCTGTCCACGGCATACAGTGGTGATGAGGGATGCCCCTTGGTAAGGCTGCGTGCCTCATGGGGTTTGAAGCAAGGTAAAACAAATTAGATTTTCAGAGCCCGCTAATAGCTGCCTTTATTTCCTGTTCTGGGGCTGCTGGCTTGTTTGCATTAGTGAGTTGTTGATCCTGTCTGTCAAGGTAGCTGTGTCACACCCCTCAGCATGACAGAGTGCCCACAGGTCCCATGGATTTATCTAAAGTTGTGGGTGCTCAGCACCTAAGAAAAAAGGCCCTTAAAATATAAAGATCAAAGCAAAATTGTCTCTCCTCCCTCCTAAAGCAGATTGGCTGGAACTTGGCTTCTCCTTCTGGTCCGCCTGCTGCATTCAGAGGGCAGGTGAGGAGCTCTCGTATTAATCAAGCTTCTTGATTTATTTGGATTTGTAACAATTGCAAGCCCCTCTCCAGAGCTCCAAGTACTTCAACAATTGAAATATACTTGACAGTAGGACTGTGAGGAGTAGTTCCCCACTATGCTGTATGGCTGCCCTGTCATCAGACATCTAAGGAAGAAGTTGGGCTTTGCAGTCCTGGGAAAATGCACAAGTTAGTGCCGTGAGGAAAAGGTGGTCCTTGCATGTTGTCCTGTGGTCATCTTTCCCACAGTGACAGGGAACTTCAACTACTTAATTCATGATCAGCAACAGGCACACCCTCCCTCATGCCCCTGTGCTGCTGTGAGAGAAGCCAGCCCTCTTATAGTTATAGGGGGTGCGGGACCTTCTCAATAAGAGACCCATTGCTAACTGGCCTTTGAATTGTTCATCTTTGCAGCTTGCTGCCAGCTCGTGGAAGTTCTGCTGACCATGCTGATCCTGATCTGCAGCTCTGTGTCCTACAGCTCGACAGGCGGTTACACCGGCATTCCCAGCTTGGGGGGCATTTACTACTACCAGTATGGAGGGGCTTATAGTGGCTTTGATGGGGCAGAGGGGGAAAAAGCCCAGCAACTTGACACACAGTTCTACCAATTAAAGTTGCCGACAGCAAGGGCAGCAATGGCTGTGGGAGGGGCCCTGATGGCCTTCTCTTGCCTTCTGGTTTTGGTTGGTGTGCTGCGGCTGCCATGGCATTTCCCAGCCTGGCTGCTGCTCGAATGCACCCTGGACATATTGATTGCACTGGGCTTCCTGCCTGCTCTCTACTTCTACTTCCACCATCTGTTGGGTGCCTACGATTCTCCAGTGTGCAAAGAGAGAGAGCATCTCTACCAAAGCAAAGGCTACCAAGGCTTCAGCTGCAGTGTGCATGGGGCAGAGATCGCAGCTGGGCTCTTTAGCTGCATTGCCATTGTGGCATTCTTGGTCAGTGCTGGCCTTGCTATCAGGGGATACAAAACAGTTCGTCAGCTGAGAGAGAAGCCAGTGCAGATGTATGAGTTTTAGGGTGGCTTGTGCATACCCAAGCTGTCCTACCAGCTCATCTCTCTCTGTGGCTGCCAGCCTGGACACCAAGAAGGGGCAGCATCGTTTCCCCTGGCTCAGGACATTGCATCTGCACTGCTACAATCAGAACACAGGACCATGGCCACAACAAGCACCCTTACCATGAGAGAACAGCTCCAGCTAGAGCCAAGCCAAGCTGCTTTTAACCAGCCCTTGCATTTAAATCTTGTGCATGTGAGCGGAACAGATGCATTCTTAGTTCCATAATTTACATCTGCTCCATGGCTCTGCCTCTGTTAGCAGTGACTAGCTTACTGCTTGTGCTGAGCTCAGTATCTTGGGAGTAGAGGGGCGCCTCCATCCCCTGATCTGCTGAAGCAAGATGTCCCAGCTCTCTCATTGGCCACAGTCCCGTTCCTCCCGTACAAGGTAGAACTACCAGCACTTGGCAAGATCCCTTGTTCATTAGCTAAGACTGAGCTTTTCACTTCACCTTAAATAAGCACAATGGGACTTCATCTCTCCTCCCATCACTGCATGTTTGAACAACTTTGATTCCCAGCTGCTTGCTACAGCAGTGCAGGGAGCAGGAGAGCCCAGGCTTGGCCACTAAACCCTGCCACTAGCTCTCCTCTGATCCTGTGTTTCCTCACATGGCGGGGATCAGGGAGGTCACCTTTAAACAATGGTTCTTATTTTTTTTAAATGTAATTGATTGTATAAGAAAATGATTCTACAAACCCGATCATTAGTGGAAGGGTGAGTGAGGACAAACACCAACCATTGTTCCCATAAAGCAGGGGTTCTTAAACTGGGGGTCAGGACCCCTCAGAGGGTTCTGAGGTTATTACATGGTGGGTCACGAGCTGTCAGCCTCCACCCCAAACCCCGCTTTGCATCCAGCATTTATAGTGGTGTTTAATATATAAAAGTGTTTTTAATTTATAAGGGGGGGGGGTTGCACTCAAAGGTTTGCTGTGTGAAAGGGGTCACCAGTACAAAAGTTTGACAGCCACTGCCATAAAGCAAAGTGATGTCACTCAGGCATTAGCGTGTGACCCCAATGATTAGTTGAGTGCTGCATGCCTGCGTGGAGCCTAGCCAGACAGCCCCCGCACAGGGCAGGGCTTTACACTATAGGAACATGTTCAATAGCACCTAGGATTGAGCCTGTGACCAACCCATGGGGAAATGGCATGAAGGCCTGGGAATGTAATGGATCACAGTGGAAACAAGAGAAGACTGTCCCATTAAATACAGTTTCTATGACAATCCCACTGTGGTGGGACACTGTCCTCACCACTTAGCTGAATGGCCAAAGTGTAGGTGCGCCAGGGCTCCCTACAGATCTGAACTGTAAGAGGGACAATGGCTAGGGTTGCCAACCCTCCAGGAGTATCCTGGAGTCTCCAGGAATTAAAGATTGTCACGTGAGAAAATCTCCAGGACTACATCCACCCAAAATTGGCATCCCTAACAATGGCTGCTTCAGCCCCAGGGGGATGTTGAAGCAATGTGTTGGCTGTGTTGCTTTTGATCCCTGGTATGGTGAGTGTGGTGCTCAGCTGAGGGGCTGGCAGCCCGTAGTTAGATGGAGTAGGCCCTCTTGTGGGAACGGCTGGAGCCTGGCGGTATTTGATGGCAAACGGCACGTCCCCCCACCCTTTTTCTCCTTCTGCTACATGTGGAGAGTTGGCCAGCTAGCTTGGCAGGTGGCCTCGTCCTTTGGCTCAGAGGGGCAGGAAGACCCATTTCTGGTGTAAGCGAGTGCTGTTGCTTTTTTCCTCCTCTTGTCTCTGCTCTTCCTCTGCACTGTTTTGCCAGTGTGGAAGGCAGACTGTGCTGTTTCTCTCCCTGTAATAAAGGCCCAACACAACTCAAGGGAACAAGAAATAGCTGGGTCCTTGTCTGAGCAGAGCTCCGGGTGGACAGGCATTTACCTAAATTCTGTAGACCATGTGTTCTCATGCTGGAGGGCATAACACCGCCTGCCCTTTGTTTATGGCTAGACAGGAGTATCTTGAAGGGTTTTTTTGTTTATAACATGGGCTTACAGCCTCCAACTGGTTGAGAGCCTTGCTGGAGCTGGGCCAAGCACTAGAAAAGACCCAGCACTGGCCCCCCAGGTGCTAGCTGAGCTAAGCTAGGACTTTCTAGCCCTTCTACCTCTGCTACAAGCTGAGTTAGCTAGCTAGGCTTGGGCACTCCAGAGTGTTGCGAGGACAGGTCAGGCCTGGCTGAAGTGAAGGGGAGGCATGTCACAGCATTGTCTATTTCACCCAGGTGTGGTGCAGCAAATCCAGATGTTACTGAATGCTCTGGCTCTCGTGTGTGGTCACTTCTTATTTTGTTCTTTCTGGATTCAGTGCTGGCTTTACAGCTGGTGGCTTCAATGATTATTACTACTGACCCTTCAAGGGCCACGCACTGGTGCAAATCCAGATCACCATCACCATCTTCTTGTTGGAGATCTGAATACTCGCTTCCTTGTTGGAAAGTCCAAGCCTCTGGAAGCTGTCTCGCTAGGAAATGGCTGCTTCTGGAAGCCATGTGCTGGCTCCTGGCATGTTTGGCCTATTGCACAGCGCTAGGTGTCTAGCTACACACAACCCTACAAAGTAGTGGCAAAGATCTTTGCAAAGGGAGAGAGGCTATATGGATGAAATGGACTGTGAGCTGGCAGGCACTGCTGGGGATGCCGCCACTGTTGGGAGACTCCCAGCCATTTTATGGAATTAGCGTGGTTCTCATCCTACAATGTGATAGAAAAATGAACTTTTATCAGGATCTTCCAGAGCTCAGTGGTGCAGCTAGTGAAACAGTTTAGTGTTCTTGGCTCTCGAGTACTAGATGGCCTCCTCATGTGAGGCAGAGCTAGGGTAACAAGCGGTCTTAGCCACCAGCAGTGGCACCTGCAGGCCAACTCTTTCTCTAGGTATACTATTTCTAAGCAGAATGTTGTGGATAAGAATGTGCTTTTCACTGACTTTTATTCTTTCATTCACAGGCTGCCAAAGTTAGTCGCTTTTTGAGATAATGCAGGGAAGAACTAGATGATAAAATATTAGAGACTGATCAGAGTCCCATAAAATAATTGGCCTGATGTATAACCTGGACTCTCATCAGCTCTGTCTGAAGCAGCACTAAGCCAAGCTTGCTCAATCCTTTGATGGGAGATTTCCTTAGAAAGCCAGGGTGGGTGCTGCAGGCAGTGAATCACTACTGATTCCAGCTAATGGTGTCAAGGGACTGTGGTGCTCAGAGCTCTAAACAGCATCTGTCCAGAATAAGGGTCCCATGGTGCTTTTCCAGAAGTGTTAACAGCACTTTCCTGTTTTGATCCCCAATGGGTAGATACATTCCCCCTTGGTAAAGTCTCCCTGTAGTTTCAGTTGGCAAAAGATATTACTATTTTCAAATTCTCTAGCTCCAGACACATGGGACACCTGCATAAGCCCCTCAATAGTATACAACAGGGACCATCACTTGAAGAAAAATAAGTTTATATGATGCAAGATTACTCCTATAAAATTCTGTGCCAGATCACCAGCTGTCATTCTGCTGCCCCCTTGTACACCGGTCACTTTTTCTTATAGCACAGGGTAGTTCTGCTAGGAACATATTGTGCAGAAGACTCCATTAGGAGAGTTGACCTACAAATAGATGCCTTCCAATCAGTGCAGAGCTTGTATTAATCCTTTGAGCCAGGTATTTATATTACTATGATAGAGAAGCAATGCCAGAGACAAGTTTGTTTCCATTTTAAGACCAATCTGTGATATAAACCTCTCTTCTGGGCCTGAGTAAATTTGGGCTGGAAATAAGGTTTCTAATGATCAGAGATGGGAGGTTCTGGAAAAGCCTTGCAATAGGAGCAGTGAGGGAATAAAGGACTTTTAAAACAGAACTTGATAAATTTACAAATAGGATTATGCAAGGGGGGTGCCTGCACTCGGTCCCCTCCACGCCTATGCTCTGTTTGTCTCTCACTCTCTGAGGGACAGGCAGGGGCGCCTTTCTGTATAAAACGTGTCTGATCTGGGCCTCAAGAGCAAGGTTAATCAGTGGAGACTGAGCAAGATCTGAGACTTTGGAAAACAGTGTTCAGCTATGAAAATTCTTCTGTCAGATCTCACAATAAAGCTTCCACACTTTACAGTAAAGATATTAAATGCTGAGCTCTTCCTTGTATTCTTTATAAACAATTAAAGGTGAACTTTTTAAAAGAGTAAAGTTTGTTTCTTTGACTTTTTTATGGAATAAAATGGGGCAGTGGCTCTATGAACGAGCTTCAAAATGAAATGTCATTTCACAGCAGCCCCTATGTATAGCATCCCTTCATTAGCACTGACCACATGGAAAACACGCAGAACCAACATGACTGGCCAGCACTGCCTAACATCTCCCCGTGAATACAAGTGAAGCCTCTAGTGTTTCTCTTACTTAATTGGCACCGGTCTCTACTCTAAAGCATCACATGAGATCACGAAGCAGCAGGGTGGAGTCAGAGATATGGCAGTTGAAGAAAAAGATTAATAAAAGCCAATTATCAGCTGAAGTATATCTGGTTTTGCTTGGTAGTGCCCTCTTTTTGGTACCTGTCACTCATCCTCTAGGTAACTGGGAGGGGAAATGGTACTTATTTAGCAAATCCTTCTCTCAACTCATAAGGCAAGAGGTGAATTATCTGCCCTCCATTAGCCCAAAAATACAGGGGGAGGAGAACTCTATTCCTGCAGCCTGCATAACCCTTAGCAGCCAAATAAGTAGTGTTACCAAGTGTATTCACTGCAAAGCTCTGTCTAGGCACAGTGGCTTGTGTCAGTCCTAGCCACAGGCTAATGTTTCTCCACGTACTATCTGCTGCAGATACCTCTGGAGAGCTGCACAACAAAGTACTTCTGAGGCAAAACTACTGGCCAGAACTCCTCTTCACATGAAGAAATTCCACCTTGAAGATACTTTACAAGTACTTTATAAGGAGGAGGTCCTGGGGGGGGGAGTAGCCTGCTCAGCCAGATGACTGAGGCCATGTCTACTCTACCACTTATGTCGCTCAAGGGTGTGGGAAAAAAACAAACAACAGGCCCCTGAGCGACGTAAGTCTTGCTGGCATAAGTGCTTGTGTACATACACAGGGTTATCTCGGCATAGGGTGGCTACACAAAAGATCTTACAGCTCATCGATACAGCTGTGCTGCTGTAAGGTCATGAGTGTAGACATGGCCTGAGACCATCTTGGATAAAGCTGGTCACAACTGTGCTCACACCATGGCATGATTGTGGCACTATGTTAATGCACTGGAGAGTACTCGCAAACAGAATATACACTTAGATGAAAGTAAAAATCTTTATTGCTACGTCCGCTGAAAAATTGATCAAAAATATTCTTCCTTTCTGAACTGTTCTGTATATCTTAGTAAAGAATCAATGGAATCACATTTTAACCCCAAGGATCTTCCTCCTTTTGCTGCCACATACATTGCGGTGCTGAAAGTGCATTCAGTATAACAATCTACTTCCACACACAATGAAAGAGGGGTATTGTTATAGCTGCATGCTAGACTCAGGGACATAAAATAGTATACGTTTCGTTTTAAAACAAAGGCATGAAAAATAGTTTTGCTGCAATTTATCTTTAACATGCTCTAGCTCATGTCAACTTAAAAAAGTTAACACATTTCAAAAATATCAAAAATACACAAGTCTGAAGATTGCAACAGAATTGCAGCGGACAATGATTGCACAAAAACTATGATGTGAACCCACTCCCTGAAGGCCCTTTGGCACAGAACCTACATCCTCCAGGAGAGGTGGAGAAACTCCTGGTTTACGAGGACCGGTAGATGTGGTTGAATGTTCTGTAAGCTAGAGAAAGGGGGTAGATCTTAAGAGCAACCTATTCCCATGAGAGAGAGAGAGAGAGTATCCTTAAGTGCTTGCCACACTCTGGAATTAAATTAACCCTCGCCCCACAGCTTAGGAGCCTCACCTACTCTAGGCAGCTGGGAGCAGTTTGGAGGCTGCTAACTGGCTAAGAATTTCTTATCCTCAATACTTTTTGCCTTGGAATTAGTTTGCTTTTATATCAGATGTTTTGTTCATTAGTTCCTTCTACTGGGACCTTATTGAACAAATAAAGCAGATAAGTTAGTGCCTTAGGAGTATCTGCTGCTGTTGAAAGTGCACACCAAGAGGGAGAGAATTACTTGAGACTTGACACATGGAATAATACTAACCGGCAAACTGCAACCCCACACTGGGAAAGTGGCAGCTCCCATTCTCTTCCATGGACAGTCTCCTTGTTACAGAGATGCTCTAGGACACTGATTCTCAACCTTTTCCATATTTTTATCACTAGAAGAAGGGAAGAGTGGCCACAACCCCCAGGTCAAGAAACCCTCTTCTATACTGAAGCTGTGTTTACGGGGAATCTTTCACTGCTGCACTCCTGCAGAGATGATAGCAACTGTGCAATGGCCTGAAATCACCATCAGGGAAAAGAAGAGGCTATGAAGAACTTTGGTCAGATAGAAATTGAAATAAGCATGGGAAACTCCTCTTTCTTTGTACTTTGCCTCACCCTCATCTGAGCGCCCATCACTAGGGCTGCCCTCACCAGCTCAGCCTGTCCCCATGTGGGTGACAGGATTCCTAAGGGGCCTGAAAATATAAGAAAACGAAGTAAGTTAGGAAAGACAAGGAAGAAGCTTGCTGGCCCCTGGAAAGCAGGAAATCAAGAGGACAGGAAGAGGGGGCAGCTCAGATTGCAGCCTGGAATGAAACACGCTTCTCATAAGACGTGTGTTAGAGCAATATATCAGAGCAAGAGGAAGCTCTGTGTTCTGATTGGCATCTATGATCATATGCCATGTTGTGCAAGGACACCGCCACTAACCAGTGAGTGTACAGGATTTGGAGGGAGGGAGCTGGTCACATTAAAACCTCTTTCTGCGCCAAATACATAGGAATAGAGAAAATCCTAACTGATGATTACTGTACACAATTAGCCTTTACTTCAGCAGCTCCACTCCACAGCTTCCAGGGGGCTGTAGGAAATGGAGGCTCTGTATCTATACTCTCCATCTGAACTTTCTGTTTTGCTTTCTCCTGCACTTTTTCCACTGAGCCATACAGAGCTGATAAATCAGTCCTCATAACGACAGCTGCAAACTCTCCCTCACAGCCCTGGCTAGTTGGAGCCCAGATATCATATTCAGAATCTAATTACTAGTCGGAGACATGCTGGATTTTCCACATTAGTGCCAGGATTCCAATACAGAACCTTATTTGTAACACATACTCGTGTACTAGTGCAAGGATTTGATTCACATTCTCACTCAGGAAGAGGGGCACATTTTCATGTCAGTGCATTAGTCCAAGACTGAACAAGAGGCTGCACTGCAGCTCTTCTGTACTGCTTCTGAGACTATTGGGGCTGGCTCAGAAGTGTGTTAAAATTATCAGTAGTGCAAGAATTAAAGGGGACCTGCAATTTTTACTTCTTTTTAGGAAGAGAACCTGAAAGGTTTTGTTTTGTTTTGTATTTTTAAAGAATTTTTTTGTTCTTCCTGTTTTCACTGTGGACTCCTTGGATAACTCAGAGAGAGTGGGAGCGCTGTTATCCCTTAATTCTCTCTAGATTGATAGAACTAGCAGAGATTTCGAATCTTTAACAAAAAGGTTCTCCCCCCAACTTCTAAGTTAAAATAGGTGTTAACAAAACTCAAAGGGTGAGACCACCCTATGGGAAAGAGGCGGTTTTCTATGACATTAGCTAACATGGTAATTAAACCAAGGTGAAATCCTAGGGCTTGTACACACTAGCACTTATGTCAGTATAGCTTATGTTGCTCAGGGGTGTGAAAAAGCCATCCTCCTGAGCGATGTAAGCTACATCGACCTAAGCACCAGTGTGGACAGCATTATGTTGGCGACATGCAGAGACAGATTTATTATGCTGACAGAAGAGCTCTCTTCCGTCAGCATAGGGTGTCTGTTCTAGCAGCACTGCAGCTGCACCATTGTAGCGATTCTAGTGCAGAATAGCCCCTTGTGTGGATCAGGCAGGTTTTTCCACACACGTTAGCAGGGCTAGGATGTTGGCTACCGTATGGTACAAAGATACTTTTTCCCCCTAGTGAAGACAAAGCCAAGGAGTTTTACATTCTGAATAATAGCCACTTCCCCGCTATCAAGTTTTCTCACAGGATCTATGATGTCAGAATCCCACTAGTTCTCTAGTTGTACATTGAGTATTCTAGGTCAGACAAGACCTGAATTTCTGATATAAAAGATAAGCAAAAAATAAACACACCAAACAAAATAAAACTCACCCCAAAAGCCCAGAACTCTTTTGGAAAAACCTTTCAGACTTTCTTCCTAGACATAAGAAATAAGTAAAGTAACAAGAAAGGGCACTAGTCCCATATAATGTCATAATGAGGCTATCAGTGTTGTCATACCACTGAGGGTATGTCTACACTGCAATTAAACACCTGGGACTGGCCCAGATAGAGCTGACTCAGGTTTACAGGGCTCGGGGCTGTTTAACTGCAGGGTAGATGTTTGCGCTCGGGCAGGAGCCTAGGTCTGGGATCCTCCCTCCTTGTGGGGTCCCCAAGCCTGAATGTCTCCACTGCAAATAAATCGCTCTGGAGCCCACACAGGCCAGCCGCAGATGTTTAATTGTAGTGTAGACATACCCTGAGATTACTGAGGCAGCTCCCACCTCAGAGCTATTGTTCCCAGCTCCCAGGCTGCAGACTCAGGAAGATGATCTGCCTGGATCACAGATGGAAGGTTGTCTTTGCAACCCTTTTGTAAAGATGAATGCTTAAATCCTGGAAAAACAACCAGAAAAGGGCTAGCAGGGCACCACACTGCATACTGGCCCATCCAGGCCCTGAAGGTGGAAACTGGAACACATTTGCCAACTGGGCACTGGGTAGCTAGCTCACTGCTACTCTCCAGAGTTGTTCTAAAGTCCTTTTTTCCTCAAGTGCGCTGATAAAAATGTTTGTATTTGGGAAAAGTTCCATCTTCCATTTTGAGTTTAAAACTAAGCAGAAACCACACAGCTTCATCTTGTTCACTTCCTGGTCTGGGCACTTGCAGCTGGAGCCCGGGCAGCCCTGGACACTGATTCTGCTCTCTGCTCCTACAGAGACAGGCAAAGGTGCTTTTGCTGCTACAGTGTAGGGGGTTCATATTTCGCAGTGTGTGTTAGAGGGAGTGCGTGTGAAATGGACCGTCAGAGACCTTCTTAGCACATGCAGGGCACTCTGGCTGCTCACTAGCCTTTACTGCTACAAACAAAACATCCCGATGGACAAGATGAAGTCTCCCCACTCATACTTCTTAGCTTCTGCCAGCTAAGGGCACCACACAGAGCACAGACTCTGTGCTTTGCAGGGGATTCTGGCTTCATCCCATGTCTCGTGGATATGGAAGGCTCTGCCTTGAAGTGCACACCAGGGGGGTGGCCAACCCCCTATCCCCTACAGTTGTACACACTAGCCCCACCCCTACCCATGTTCATATTTGTTATGGAGATAGCCAAACCCCTCCTGGGACTCCTCCATGCCCCATGGTCATATCTGTCATTGGGGCCCCCCAACCCTCATGCCCCAGTTGTATCCTTCAGGTTGGAAGGAAGCCCCTGGATAACCTCATAACAAGTAGTGACAAAACTACCTCAGCTCCCCCAGTGTCCCTGGATGTACCTATCAGGAGGGCACCAATTCCCATGTGGAGGAATCCCCCCATAATACCCGTTGTGAGGTTACTGAAGCCCCCTCTCCCTAAATAGTAAAGTGCTGGGCAGATGGGGAGCAAAATGGCTCAAGTGCGGTCAATGAAAGTGCTTGCGATGCATATAAGAATCAATCCTCTGACTGGTTCTGTGGCGCTAGTAAGCGTCATCGGGACAGGCTGTATTCTCTGAACAGTAAAGCCAAGTGACCAGTCCCATCATGATGGCCGAATCAAATACTTCACAGAACTCTGGATGCTGTGCATAACCACAACTGCCTCCTCAGCTCCCACACAGAAACCAGCCCACTGCCTGGCAATTCCTCAGGAGGGCAAGGGGTTAATGGCAGGTGGTGGGACCACACATAGGGAAGTCTGCCTTCTCAAATGCCAGACAATCCCCGGCATGGAGCTTGGCTGCTGACCTGAGTACCCTGGGCCCACAGAACAGCAGGGATGCTGTCTCAAGAAGCTGGCAGCCCTGAGTTTACAGCTCCAGGCTTGTCCTGCACTCCAATAAGGAGGGAGCTGATGTCTGTTCCTTCCCGTGCAGATGCCAACTCCCCTACACTATGGAGCAGCCCAGTGGGGTTACAAAGCTGTGTCAAACTCATCTGGAGGAGCCATTGCAGCCTTCTCATTGGGCTCCTGCTCTGCACCACTCTCATGGTGCTGCTTAATTCGTTCCTTCACTTCCTCTTCCAGGTCAGGGGGCACAACAAATCGATCCTCTGGCTCCAGCTGGGTAGGAGCAGCAAAATAACCTGTTTTCTTCTTCGGCACCTCTGTGGCTACCTCAATAAGGTTGAGGCTCTCCTCCAGAGGCACTATGGAGCCATTGGAAAGCTTCTTCCCATAGAGACAGCATGTGGAAGGAGACTTCTGCAACTCGCACCTCTCCTTGGTTCCTGCCAGGAGGATGTTGCTGTTCATGCTGTTCTGTCTCCGAATCCTGAAGACGAGCCCCCCAGAGTCATCCTCTGAGCCTGCAGCAGGAGATCCCTCCTCAGCACCAGGAGGCACAGGCTCCAGACTTTTTCCTTTACAGCAGTGGATGTCCACTTCCACCTCCACTTTGCTGCCATTCGTCATCACACCCTCCACAGGCTGCTCATCATCACTGTCCAGCCCATTGTCAGACTGATTACTAGAGAATGTGGCACAGGAAGGTTGGCGCTGAAAGATGCTGGAGGGGGGCACAGGATGGAGGCTGCAGCGTCGCTCGGGTCGAGGCACCAACCCTGCATCCAGACCAGCTCCACTGTGTTCATCGGACGCAGTGGATCCCACCTCACTGCTAACTTCTGAGGCTGACAGCTCACTGCTGAACTCTGAGGCAATTCCACTACTTGAAGAAGGTGTTGCTGGTTTGGCAGTGGAAATAACCCCCCCAGGGCCTGGCAAGGTGAGGCCGTGCATCTCACATGTGCAGCTGTCCTCACCAATGTTCAAACACACCACCATTGCTCCCACATTGTCTTGGCAGCCATAGCTTTGGGCTAAAGTGCAGATCTTCTTTGCAGCAGCCAGTGGGTCATGCAGGTGGCGTACAGCCATGACAGCCTCTGTATAAGAGAGGTATTCCCAGAGGGCTTTGTTCCCCAGTAGGAGCATCTCATCCTGCACAGTCAGAGGAATGGAGTAGACGTGAGGCTTGGGCAGGATCCAAGGATGCAAGTACGTGCAGCCTAGCATCCGAGTACAGCAGGTTACACCATTAACCTTGTTGTCCTGCAGTCAAAGAGAAGGCAAAGTCTGAGCAGTTAGCATACAAAGACCATTCTGAGCACATTCTCTCCCTGCCTATACACTTGCCTAGAGCCCTCAAGGAGGCGGACAGGTCTTCTCTTTCACAATGGGATTAGTCCATTACTAGACAGAAATGGTAAAACTATCAATAATAAAGCAGAAAAGGCAGAACTGTTCAATAAATATTTCTATTCTATATTTAGGAAAACACCAGATACTGTAGTCATATATGACGATGATGATGATGATGAAATAATTCCAATGCCAACATAACAAAGGAGGATGTTAAACACCAGCAAGCTATTATAGTTAGACATTTTTAATTCAGCAGATCTGGATAACTTGCATTCAAGAGTTTTAAAAGAGCTGGCCGAGGAGCTTCTTGGCACACTGGGGAAGTTTCAGAGGACTGGAAGAAAGCTAATCTTGTGCCAATATTTAAAAAGCATAAACGGGATTACCTGGGTAATTATAGGCCTGTCAGTCTGCCATCAGTCTTAGGCAAAATAACAGAATGGCTGATAGGAAACTTGATTAATAAAGAAATAAAGGAGGGTAATAAAGTTAATGCCAATCAACACAGGTTTATGGAAAATACACAGTGTCAAATTAACAATCTCTTTTTTTCATGAGATTAAAATTTGGTTGATAAAAGCAATAGCGTTGATGTAGGGACCAGTCTACAAGAACGTTTAGTTTATGGCAAACTGGGGTGTGAATCTACCCCATGCTAGCCTGCCACACGCTCACTGTCTGTGTGGATCTTGCTGATGCTCATTAAATCTAGTTCTCTTTGAAAAAGGACTAGATCAAAGCAAATTAATGAACTGTTATTGTGCATCACCAGGGTGCACAGAGACACAGAATGCAGCAAGCTAGTGCAGGAATAGTTTAACACGCACCTTCCTGTGAAAAAGTGGCTACTTACCTATGCAGTACCTGTAATTCTTTAAGATGTGTTGTGCACATATACATTCCACTGCAGATGTACATGTTCCAATGCACTCGAGCTGGAAACTTTTGCCAGCAGTAGCACTAGGTGGTGCATGTGCCTCCGTGCTGCTCAGGTTCCCAGATGACACCACCTCCCTCTCCGTTCCTTCACACTGCTGTATGTAATGTCCAAAGTCAGGGGTACCAGAACAATTTTTATAGTGGGGGTGCGGCGAGCCATTGAACCAAACTGTAAACCCTGTATATAATGGAAACCACTTCAAGCCAGGGGGTGCGGCGGCAACACCCCCAGCACACCTAGTTCCAGCACCTATGTCCGAAGTAGAAGGGAAGGTGGGAGAGTCATGGAACATATATCTGCACAACATATGTCAAAGAAGAAGCAGTTACTCACCTTTAGGGTGACCAGCTGTCCCGATTTTATTGGGACAGTCCTGATTTTTGGGTCTTTTTCTTATATATGCTCCTATTAGCCCCCACCCCGTCCCGATTTTTCACACTTGCATCTAGTCACCCTACTCATCTTGTGCAGTAACAATGGTTCTTTGAGATGTGTGTACCTATGGGTGCACCACTGTAGGTATGTTTGCGCCCCCACGCTGTTGATTGGAGAATTTCAATAGCAATCTGTCCTGCCTGCGCAGCTCCCTGCCTGCCACAAGGCTAGCTGGCGTGCAGAGGCATTTCTCCCTCAGTTCTTTCTCTACCGCAGAGTCAACCAGTGGTAACTCCGAAGTAGAGGGGAGGAGGGAGAATTGTGGAGCACCCATAGGGACACACATCTTGAAGAACCATCGTTACTGCACAAAGTAACTTCCTCTTCTTCTTTGAGTAGTGTCCCTCTGGATACTCCACTGTAGGTGACTCCTGAGCAGTACCCACCATTGGAAACTGGGACTTCAGAGTCTGACACAAATGATAGTACAGAGGCCCTGAATTGGGCGTCTGAAGCCGAATCACTCAGAATGGCATAGTGTTCTGCGAAGATATGTGCAGAGGACGATGTAGCTGCTCTGCATATCTCTGATATGGGAATACCTTTAGAGAAGGCGATTGATGAGGAGACCACCCTTGTGGAATGCGTGCGTACTGAAGATGAGGGTTTTACCTCCCGTAATTGGTAGCAGAGTTTAATACAGCCAGAGACTCTCTTGAATAGTCTCTAAGCTGAGATTGCCACACTCTTTGACCTATCTGCAACTGACAGGAAGAGCCTCAGATTTTCGGAAGACCTTTATACTGTGTAAGTAGAAGACCAAAGCTCTGTCACATTGAGTGTATGCAGGATAGCCTCTCTATTGTCCATATGAGGTTTTTGGATAGACTGTTGGGAGTTGAATGAGTTGATTCATGTGAAATGCAGAAGTTACTTTGGGAGTGAACTTCTGAGTGTGACCTTGTCCGGGAAGAACACTGTAAACAGGGGGTGTGCCATCAAAGCTGCTATCTCCCCTATCCATCTGGCAGAAGTGAGGGCGATGAGGAACACCATCTTCATGGAAAGGTGAGTTAATGAACAAGTGGCTATGGGTTCGAATGGTGGTCTAGTCAATCCCTTTAGCACTAGGTTGAGGTCCCATTGCAGAGTAGGGGTCCTGGATTGTGGGAAGAGGTTTGCTATACCTTTTAGAAACCTCTTTTTAATCGGGTGAGAGAAGACTGAGTAGCATTCTACCTGCTGGTGGAAGGCTGCAATTGCTGCCAAGTGAACCTTCAGTGAGCTAATAGAGAGACCCGATTTCTTTAAGGATAACAGAGACTCCAGGATGACCAGCAAGGTGGCTGAATTAGGGATGACATCCTTGGATTGGCACCATATCCGGAATCCCCTCCATTTCTGCAGGTAGGTGCGACGAGTAGCACCCTTCCTACTGTGCATTAGTACCTCCTGTGCCTCCTTGAGCAGGATGTCTCTATGTGCTGGAACCATGAAGGAGCCATGCTTTCAGATGTAGGACCTGTGGATTGGGACGAAGGGTGCAACCCTCATTCTGTGACAGAAGGTAGGGAGTGATCTGTAGGGTCACCGGTGGACACAACCCCAGCTGGGACAGGGAAGGGTATCATGTCTGTCTGGGCCAGGTGGGGGCGATCAGAATGTTTGCTTTTTCCTTTTTATCTTCAATAGCACCTTTAGCAATAGAGGGAATGGAGGAAAAGCCTAAAGAAGGCACTTGTTTCAATGGATGAGGAGAGCATCTCCCTTGGAGTGTCGTCAGATCCCCGCTCTGGAGCAATAAGGTGGACATTTCTTGTTCTGGTAGGTAGCGAACAAGTCTATCTCTGGCAAAGGACAGTTACCTGTTCCGTAACTGGCATTCTTCGAGATGTGTTGCTCAGGTGTATTCCACTATAGGTGTGCGTGCTCGCCACGTGACCGGTGCCGGAAGTTTTTCCCTTAGCAGTATCCATAGAGGGGGAGCACCACTGCAACCTCTGGAGTGGTGCCGACACATCGCACCATAAAGGGGCTGCGTGCTCCCCCCACCCTCAGTTCCTTCTTGCCAGACAACTCCGACAGAGGGGAAGGAGGGCGGGACGTGGAATACACCTGAGCAACACATCTCAAAGAACACCAGTTACGGAACAGGTACCTGTCCTTTCTTCTTCGAGTGATTGCTCCAGTGTATTCCACAGTAGGTGACTCCAAGCTATCCCTGATGGAGGTGGGTAGGAGTTCTAAATGATAAGTGTTAAGGGTACCCGGGCGGAGCACTGCCCTACCAAACCCGGCGTCATCCCTTGCTTGGGAGACGATCGCATAGTGTGAGGAGGTGGTGTGGACAGAGGACCGCGTAGCAGCCCTACAGATGTCCTGAATGGGGACATGAGCCACATAGGCGCTGACGAGGCCTGAGCTCTCGTCGAATGGGCCTTCACAATAGGAGGTGGGGGAACCCCAGCCAGGTCATAACAGGTGCGAATGCACGAGGTGATCCACGGGAGATCCACTGGGTGGACACCGGTCGCCCCCTCATGCGCTTGGCCGAAGCAATAAAAAGCTGGGGGGATGGGGGGAGGTTTTACTAAATGGCCTGGTTCTGTCTAAGTAAAAGGCCAGCGCTCTGCGCACGTCTAACATGTGCAGGCGGCATTCCTCATTAGAGGAATGCGACTTAGGACAGAGGATCGGAAGGAAAATATCCTGATCCATGTGAAAAGCCGAGACTACCTTCGGCAAAAAAGCAGGGTGAGGGCGGAAGCTGAACCTTGTCCTTATGGAAAACCGTATACGGCAGTTCAGAAGTCAGGGCCCTGAGCTCCGAGATCCGGCGGGCTGAAGTGATGGCCACTAGGAATGCCACCTTCCACAACAGGTGGGACCACGAGCACGTGGCTAAAGGCTCAAAGGGAGGCCCTGTAAGGCGGGAGAGCACCAGGTTCAGGTCCCAGAGCGGGACCGGGAGTCTGGCATAAGGGAATGCCCGATCTAACCCTTTCAGAAACCGGGCCGTCATGTGATGCGAGAATACCGACAGGCCCTGCACCGAGGGGTGGAAAGCCGAAATGGCCGCCAGGTGCACCCTGATGGAGGAGGGCGCCAGGCCTTGGGTCCTAAGGGACAGGAGATAATCAAGGACAAGCTGGATAGACGTGGAAGAGGGAGAGGAACCTCTATCCCTCGCCCACATAGAGAACCTATACCACTTAGCCAGGTAGGTCCGTCGCGTGGAGGGTTTCCTACTCTCCAGCAGGACCCTTCTTACAGCCTCCTCCTCATTCAACCATGGAGCAGCCATGCTGTCCAGTGGAGTGGGGCCAGGTTGGGGTGGAGGAGACGACCTTCTTCCTGGCAGAGGACGTCCGGGCGTAGCGGCAGCCTGCAAGGAGGGACCGCTAAGAGTTGCAGCAGGGACCCGTACCAATGCTGACAGGCCCAATCCGGGGCTATGAGGATAATCCTTGCCCCATCTGACTTCACCTTCTGTAGGACTCGGTCTATTAAGGGGAAGGCGTACCACAGGGGCCCCGACCATGGGAGCAGGAATGCATCCGATAGCGCCCCGTCGCCGTCTCCCGCTCTGGAG